TTACGTTTTCCTGGCTAACCATTTCCTCTTACAGATGTTTTTATATCAAGTCTTCTTCCTTTCCCACTCTAAGACCCAGCTAATTTTTGCCTACGTATACATCCTGCCTTTATGCTATCTTTTTCTGTTTCCCAGCCATTATAGTTTTTGGTTAGCTTGTTTGTCCAGGCAGTAAGTTTCCATTGCAGCAAATTCAATTTTAAATTTCTCTTTCAATATTAAATTTTGAAGACCTTTCCTTTACTTCTATCAAGTGAACTAACCCTAACCCTAACCCTTGATTGACATTGACCCTTATCTAACTCTAACCAGATGCTGGTCATTGAGAACATTCATGCGCATAAGCTTTAGCAATAAACCAGTATGGACCTGGTTTTTCACACCTGATATTAAACATGTTTGATTTCTAAACTGTATAATTTAGGAATGTGCTGAATATTCTATAGGGTAGATATTGACTAGAGTAATTTCAGTGGAGTAGAATTCCCCCATTCCAGAAAGTCTGACGGTGGGATTATCAAGTTTTTATAATATTGTTTTATGCCCTTTATGTACTCTCCTTGCAGAGGACAAAATATAATATAATAAACTTGAGCCAAAGAATGAGACTTTTCTCTATTTAATTTATATACTCAAGGTTTTGCAATATATAGTTGGGATTATCACTGAAATCTGTATAGCAACAACAACGTCAGAACACCTTTCTGACAAGCAAAGTCAATGGGCAAGCCAGATTCACTTAACAACCATGTTACTAACAAGTGCATTGATTCATTTAACAACTGTGGCAAGAAAAGTTGTAAAATGGGGCAAAACTCAGTTAACAAATGTCTCACTTAGCAACAGAAATGTTGGGCTCAATTGTGGTTGTAAGTCAAGGACTACCTATATCTGTTTCAAGCACATTGGTGAAATTTGATAACAATAATTTAATGTTTGGATTTTTACAAACTGTTGATGGGGTCTGGCTGTTCTTTAAATAGATAGGAAAAAGATATTTGGATAATAGCAAATAACTTAATGAAGATGTTGACTTGGTGCATGACAGTTTTGACAAAGGCAAATTTGAGGTATCAAAAGAAAAAAATTGAACTAAAACTGCTAATATTAAAGGTAAAGGTTTCCTGTCCAGTTGTGTCTAGGGCGCAGTGCTTATCTCTGTTTCTTGGCCATGGGACCCAGCATTGTCCAAAGACATTTTCCTTGGTCATTTGGCACATGGAACACATGGAACAAAATTTGCAGATGACACCAAGCTGGCAGGAACAAAATTTGCAGATGACACCCGAATTTGCAGATGACACCAAGTTGGCAGTAATAGACAACACTCCAGAAGATAGACTTAAGATACAGAAGGATCTTGACAGACTTGAACATTGGGCACTATCTAACAAAATGAAATTCAATGGTGAAAAAAGTAAGGTTCTACATTTAGGCAAGAAAAACCAAATGCACATGTATAGTATAGGTGATACCTTGCTCAATAGTAGTAACTGTGAGAGGGATCTCTGAATCCTAGTGGATAATCACTTAAATATGAGCCAGCAGTGTGCTGCAGCTGCCAAAAAAGCCAACACAGTGTTAGGCTGTATTAATAGAGGGATAGAATCAAGATCATGTGAAGTATTAATACCACTTTATAACGCCTTGGTAAGGCCACACTTGGAATACTGCATCCAGTTTTGGTCACCATGATGTAAAAAAGATGTTAAGACTCTAGAAAGAATACAGAGAAGACCAACAAAGATGATTAGGGGACTGGAGGCTAAAACATATAAGGAATGGTTGCTGGAATTGAGTATGTCTAGTTTTATAAAAAAGCAGGACTGGGGCGACATGAATAGCAGTTATCTGAGGGGTTGACACAAAGAACGGGGATCAACCTATTCTCCAAAGCACCTGAAGGCAGGACAAGAAGCAACAGACGAAAATTAGTCAAAGAGAACTAAGGAGAAATTTCCTGACAGTTAGAACAATTAACCAGTGGAACAACCTGCCTCCAGAAGCTGTGAATGCTCCAACACTGGAAGTTTTTAAGAAGAGATGGACAACCATTTGTCTGAAATGGTATAGGGTTTCCTGCCTGAGCAGGGGGTTGGACTAGAAGATTTTCAAAGGTCCCTTCCAACTCTACTACTACTACTACTACTACTACTACTGTTATTGTTGTAACCTTCCCATCGAAGTGGTACCTATTAATCTACTCGCATTTGCATGTTTTTGAACTGCTAGGTGGGCAGAAGCTAGGGTAAAGAAATGGGTCTTGAACAGGGGCTGTCAGCACAAGCTCAGTGTCTTTAACTGCTGAGCCATCACACCCCCTCGTATAGCCTCCATTTGTATAATGGGCTAATATTATAATGCCCATTATACAAATCTACATTATTGCAGATAACTCAGGTCTCCACTTCTGAAAGAAAACATAATATAACTGGAAAAAATATAAAACAGGCAACTAACATGATTGAGGAGCTCAAATACTTCCATTTAAGTGGGAAAAAGGCAAGGTATGTAAAACCATGCATCTTATGAACTGACTTATTATTGCATAGTCTTTAATGGCCTATAGTCAATTTCATCAGACACATCCAATTTGTCCATAGTATGATTATCTTCTCCAATAGTCAACATTCTGTTGTTGAGATTAGATTATAATGAGATCAAAGGGAATTAAGCCAACTGGGAAGTAAGGTCTCTCCCAGCACCTGCCCCTTGGAATAATGTCTACCAAAGATTTGTGAGACCTATACCTGATCTTATTTAAATAAGCCCCTAAAATCTGGTCCTACCCCTAGGCTGATTGATATACCCCCAGTGTAAATTGTTTTGGCAGTACTGGCATAGTTTCTTGGACATTTGTTTTTTATAGCTTATGTAATCTTCTACTTTTGTTTCATGTTGTATTTCATCCAGAGTTGGGATGGAGTCAGGAGGCCTATACATTTATTAAACAAATAAGGGGTAAGAAGTGTAGAGTCGGTAATTAGCTTTATTAACAGTTGCCATGTTGGTAACATAGGATTTTCTCTGAACTGATTGGTTAAAATGGATCTCTGCTCATCTAACCAGCCAAAAATCCTGTTAGTGTGGAATAGATATCATGTAATTCATCAAACAAACTGGTACTTTCCAGATAAATTAAAACTACAGCTCTCATTCACAGCATGTGCAATTAGAGACATAATCCCAACAAATCTATTAAGGTCTGAGTACAATTTCTTTTAGAAACAAAATATGGCAACAAAGTACAGTGGCCTCACTCACTGCTTTGGTTGCGAAACAATCTAGGTTTGACATGTCTGATTTTCCATTACATTTTGATGTGCATTCTTACTATATATTGTTTCAGATTACAAGAAGATCTAATTTATTTTAAAAAGCATTCGCCAAAACAAAATAACTTTTGCAAATAACAAAAAATCATGAAGCACATTAATGTAGAACAATATAGGTGTTGACTTCAACTCTCAGAATCCCCCAGCTTCCCTTTCTGGAAGTTGAAATCCATACCACTTAAAGCTGCCAAGGATGAGAAACACGGTTTTAAGACCATTCAGTTCATTCTATTATATCAGGCCAATATTTCAACAGTTTGCATGGATCACCATTTACATATCAAATGACAGGCGGGAGGCCGTCTTTGAGTTCACTAAGCAGAGATTGGACTATGCTATAACCAACCACATAGACCTTCCCTACAGCCAGCAACCAATTGCCGTAGAAACTGCTGAGAGTTTCACCCTTATCACCATAGTAACTGCCTAAAGACTTCATTCCTTCGATCTCTTCTTCATATCCAGCGCCCTGTTACCAATAAGACGAAACGGAAGAAAAGTGCTTTCTAGCCTTTCTCTTTCGCCAACCCTAGAGAGTCATCAATTCCCGCTGTAGTTCCGCCCCTCATTTCTCGCGAAGGGTGATGGGAATTCTAAGATGGCCGCGCCCGCTTGAGAATCTGGAAGCGGGGAGACTTGCTGCTGCAACTGCAATCGCTATCTGAGGGGAGACAGGGACACGGGGAGAAGCCGCTGCAGCTTAGGCCCGCAGCCGATCGCCCTTTCCTGTGTCACTCAGGTCCGTGAGTCCCTCTGCCTCCCACAGCTTATCACAGTTAGTTCCCGTCTTCCTTTAGCTTTCCAGTCCACCAAGGGCTGGCTTACACGTTGCATGCCCAGGGGCTCTTCCGAGTGCTTCTAACTCATTCATTCATCATTATTTGTAGTTATGACAAATTTGTGCAGTCAGAGTGATCACTGACCTAGAAGGCAGTTGTAGTTATTTTCCTTCTTTTTAAATTGGCATGTGTTGGCATTCTCAGGCTTTCTTTTCAAAATTTTCAAAGGATGTACCAAAGAGGGGAAAAAGTAAAGTGACAGTATTTTTATTTGAAACTACAAATGAGCAATCATAGGTAGAAACAATATCAACACTTGTATTGAAAGGGAGTGAGGAAGAATCTCACTCTTGCAATTTTTAAATATAGGCAGTATAAAAGTGTAACAATTTTGCATTATTCTACAATTTATGCCCATTTATTTGACAGTAATTTTTAACTCATATAGTTTATGATTATCAGGCAACTTTATATCTTAGAATATCAACATATATTATTTTATTGTATCTCTGAAGGATAGTCCTGCACATATAATAAGGAGTGTGTTATTGCAAATACTTTGTGGAATGAAAGGCATATAACATCTTTGGAATTCAGCAATCCATTTCATATGCTTTTCTAAATCACTAGAGATAGCAATTTGTATCAATTATTAAGTAGAATTTTTATAAGAATATTTTGGTTGATGATTTCCAGTGCAATGAAAGATGGGCTTAGATGTTAAGAGATTTTAGTTTAGTTGCTTCTTTAGTTACAAATTTATGATTTTCAGGAGTATTGATATCAATGAGGCTAACAAAATTAGTAAGAATTGCACAGTATCGTGTATGCTTTGAAGGATCCTGTGTAATCTGGTTTCTGTTTTGGACTTGCTGTAGAAATAATGTTGATATTTGGAACTCATGTCGAACATCTATGAAGAGAGGTTAACAATGATTGCAGCAGGGGATTTGCAGGAGTTTGTCCCTTTTGGCCGTGACCACTGCAAACATCATCCTAATGCGCTTAACCTGCAACTACGGCAGCTGCAACCAGCCTCAGAACTTTGGTCATCAGATGGAGCAGCTGGTTTGGTGGGGTCACTTCAAGAAGTTACCATCCATGAGAAACACAAGGTAGAAATGCTTCTGAAAGTAGTATTTTTTATTTAGCAAACCTGTATTTAGCATAGAATGAGAAAGTGGTAAGGCACTAAAGTGGGACAGGATAGGGAAAATATGTTCTGTTAAACGTGTTTCTGAGTTTTTAGAAATACATAGGTAAACATTGAATTGATACAACATGTAAAAAGTGAATTAAAAGCATTGATCACACCAGTAGAGCACAAACAGTAGGTTTGTAGAGCTTAGGATGTAAGAAATAAACAACAGCAGTAAAAGACCTATTCTCTATTTTGGGAATGCTGCCAAATTGCTCCTATTCTCTCTATAGTCTATACCAGGGTAGGCAACCTTGGCTCTTTTATGACTCGTGGACTTCAACTCCCAGAATTCCTAAGCCAGTGGAGTTGAAGTCCACGAGTCATAAAAGAGCCAAGGTTGCCTACCCCTGGTCTATACTTTTAATCCCTTCTGTTCTCCTTCTTCTACCAAAGCAAAATTTAGAGCTGCCCCAGGGTATTCATGGATAAACTAAAGAAGAAGGCTATCACTTTTTTTGTTAGGGCTAAAATATTAAACAATGTAACAATGTTAAAATATTAAGTACCGTAATGATTTGTTGAGACTTCATTTTGACTATTATCCAGTTTGGATAATAATGATTAAAACATCAGATTAAAAACCAGGAAACTGAGTTCTAGTCCTGCTTAGCATGAAAGCCCGCTGATGAGTTCGGTCTAATCACTTTCTCTCAGCCTAACCACCTCCCAGGTTTGTTGTTGTGAGTAAAATAAGAGGAAGAAGGACTATTAGATATGTTCGCTGCCTTGAATTGTTTATAAAAATAATAATAAAGATGGTATAAAAATAAATAAAATGTTTCATATCTTCTGCATTCTACTTTTGACTACATTAATAGTTCTGTTCTGAAAGAAACAAATATTCTGAATTTTTTGTCAGATTTTTTTATCAGATTATTACAGATTATGTCTGTAATTGTGCTGTCTCAGCTATCAAACATATTTTATCCATAAGCATACTATATTAGTACCAAAAATTGCTGAGAAATTCAGGAAAACATGGTGATACTTAAAGCACATACTACTTTTGAAGCTGTGGTTAGGTTTTAAAATAACTTTTGCATTAGCCATTTTAGAAAGCTAAATCAACTAATCTTCAACAACCAACTAGGTTATGTAGTGCAGAGATCCCCAATCTTTTGGGCACCAGGGACCGGTTCCGTGGAGAAAGGTTTTTCTGTGGACTGGAGGGTGCATGGTTTTGTGTGCTGCCTGCATTCCATAGATGGGGCTTTGCTTGTTTGTGTGGACCGGTTGCTGGCATGCCGCGGCCCGGTACCGATCCACAGACCGGGGGTTGGGGACCCCTGATGTAGTGTATCATCATTTTTTTAAGCCATTACTGCACAGTAATAATGATATTCATTTTTTTTCCTTTTAGGAAAGTTGGAAGTTAAGGAAGGGCATCAGTGAGGTTGGGGAAGAAGTAGAGTATGATGAAGAACTGTATGTGGCTGGTAATATGGTCATTTGGAGCAGAGGAAGTAAAAACCAATCTTCAGCAGTTTATAAAGCATTTACTGTTGACAGCTCTGTTCTGCAGGTACGAAAAGTGGTACTGTGTAGAGTTTGTTTAGCTACGTTGCCAAGGAAAGTTAAGGTCATGATTGCTTTTATGTTTTATGTTCAGGAGAAATTTGTTTTGAAAATAATGACCAGAGAATGGGAAAAAAAGTTTCATTAGCACAAACTGCTCAATGTCCATGTGATTTATAATTTCATTTCCTGGTTTTTATATATACTTCAGCTTAAACAAAATCTGTTCAGAAGAATGTGGCATATGAGAACAAGGCTGTATGACTGGAAAAAAAGGGATTTTTCCCTCAGCAGATTGTATCCTGCTTCAAAAAAATTCCCCTGAAATGGTTATTGCCCTACTAATAATAATAGCATTCTTTCTTCTACTTCAAAATAAAATAAAGCATGAGACACAAGTTATTTTCAGGAGGAAAATAGGGAAAAAGAAGAGGATTTATCATTTCTCATAAAGTCCTGACCTAATGTTAATGTCCCACATCTCTGCTTTTAAAAAAAATCAGGCAAGACAGCCAATCTTCATTTAATGTCCACTTGTTCAGCAATCATTCAAAGATACAACGAGTCCTCACAGATGTGGCTGTCACAGCTCCCTTATGATCACGTGATTGCACTTCAGGTGCTTAGCAACTGGCTCGCAATTATCACATTGCAGCATCCCATCCTCACGTGATCACCATTTGCAACCTTCACTGCTGGCTTCTAACAAGCAAAGTCAGTGGGGAAATGAGGCCTCAGTTGGCAATTACATGACTGCAGGATGCTGCAACCATACAGGAGTCACCTAACAGTAGCAACTTGTAAGTCAGTGTCAACCTTCAAACAATTTTTGGCTGCAACCATCGTCACTTCGTTTTCAGTTGCTACAGTGATGGGAGGGGGGAGATGTATTCTCTTAGTTTAGACATAACAGTAACTGTTCTGTGGGGACCAAGGTCAAGTTACCTAAGTTTTGGTGGGATGAAGCTTTGTTAGCAAGCCTGCCAAAGAAGTTAATTGGGGATTGTGATTTATGACATACTGTAGGGGTGGGAAGTTCAACTTTTTACTTTGTAATCTTGGGGGAGATAACTTTCAGTCTTGGTTTCACCTTTGTACATGTCGATACTATGTAGTCATTAAATGTGTTCTTTGAGGAAACACATTTACCTTGGAGTTCTTATTTCTACTGGTCTCATCTATCGGAACCATGACAGTCAGTGTGATCATGTGATATTGCCACTTACAACCATATTGCTTAGTAATTGCTTAGTTTTCAGTCCCAATTACTGTTAAGTGAGGATTTCCTGTATCCTGCACATTTGGCCTTAGTCTTCAGGACAGAATGTTGGCATTCCAGACTTAATCAATGAAATCATAAGAAAAGCATGCAGCGTCAGGTTTTTTCTCTTTCCTTCATCTCTAGAGTAAGAGTGACGTAACTGGGTAAAGTACCATGCTACTGAGTGGATTAACAGTGCTTTGGCGGGGTGAGGGGCTAGACAATTGTTTTCTCCTTCAGGATATTATTTTCATTTTATTTTGCCTTCTAATATCTCACTTTTATATATGGTTGTTGCCATTTTAGTGGAGCTATACTCAGCATTTGAAAATCAAAATGATAATAGCATAATTGATGATATCTAGTTTTAGATATATAGAACAGAGAAGAAAACAAAGTAAATTACTTATTTCACTGGATATTTTTATTTTATTTTAGGCATTGTGGTGTGATTTCTCAATACCCCAGGAAAAACCTGAAAGAAATAAAGGTAAAAGTAATCTTTTAGACCATTTGACTTAAGATCTGGAATAGGAAAAGCATTGTCCACATTGATATGAAGCTGCTTCAGAAATCAATGCAGAAAATGCAGCCTTTTTGTGACAAAAATAGATGAATGGAAGATAATTTGAATCTCAATTGTCTCCCAATTTAGATAGCTGTCAGGTAGTAGAAAAGTGTATCTGCATATTACAGAGCTCTTGCATAAATATCCACAGTATTGAAGGAAAGGATTACACTGCTTCTTTACCCTTTCAGGTAAGCTGTATTGAAGTATTATTTCACTTCTTTTCTAAGCAGAAAAGTAGCTGTAATAGATTCTGGATTTTTTGAAATGTTTTTTTTAGTTGAACATTGCTAAATTTTTCAGCAAAATAAAAATGTATAAATAATTAAAACATGAAATTTCTGTTAGTTTGATTGAATTGGATATTTTCCCACTATAATGAAATATATTTTAATATAACTTTTTATAGGTAGCAAATGTCTGGCCAACCAGATATGGCTTGTTATTTGAACGGAGTAGTTCGTCACATGAAGTATCTCTAAATCCAAACAGGTAAAGAAAGATGATCATTGCTTAGAGCAGAGTTCCCCAACCTTTTCAGCTTTGTGGACGGGGCGGGGCAAGGGGGAGAGGAGATGATTCCGCACTTGCGCATCCTCACTTGTGCAAACAGTGTGCAAGTGCGTGCATGCACACTCCATTTGCGCGCATCCCTACTTGCGTGAACAGCGGACAAGTGCTTGACCAGTCAATCACAACACATCTCCTAACACATCACTGTTAAAGTGAAATATAAAGACAAAATATTATAATTGCCATGTTCCCAGTTTTCAAACTATTGTTCAGAGTAATGGATGGGGATTTTGCAAATGTGCATATGTGTATGCATACCATCATGTTTCCTTCTACTTTAACTTGTATGCCTAGCTTATTAGAAGATTTGTGATCAAATCCTAGTTCATTGCTAATATGCAAATTGTCACATCAGAGCTTATGATAATTTTGGACGTGGCCTTCAATTTGTAGAATTTTTGTTCATTTTTTTTAGAGAACCTTTGCCTACTATGTTCAGCATGCTCCACCCATTAGATGAAATAACACCAATGGTTTGTAAGTCTGGAGGTAAATTATGTAATGTATAAAAAGATAATTTTAGATCTGATGTAATCAGAGACTTAGCTTTGTTGACTATTTTCTGCATATTAAAATATTGTTTAAAATATGAGATATTGGGATACATACTGAATTATTTATAAATACATTCAGATATACATATTTTATATATATCTTGAAATTGAATACATAGAACAGTAAGTTTGAATTGTTTAGGTTTCCCCAACCTTTTAGATATTTTAAATGGCAAACTCCCATAAGTCCAGTCACCATACTGTACCCAGTGGATTAGGGTGATTAGAACTGTAGTGCAACACATCTGGAAGACATTAAATTGGAAAAGGATTATCAGGAAGCAGCTCTGCAGCTGGCTAACCTTATTGCAAGCTAAGGAGACTAGACTTGGTTAATACTGGGAGGCCTATACGGAATATAGGACTTTAAGCTAAGCTGGAAAGTTGAAAAAATATTGAAAAAGTCAGCAGCAGACCACTTTTGTATTTTTGCAAAAAAACCCCATAGGCATGTTCATGAAGTCATTCAAAGTCTAGCTAGACTTGGAGGAGGCTAATTTTCACTTTTAAAAAAAATTGACATCCCATTTTTTTCAGTGGTAGAATTTAGTTACAAAAGAAAAAGGGACATAACAGACATACCAAGGAAAAAAATTACAAGGGCATAAGTTGAACAATTGATTTATTTATAACTAAAGCTATTTAAAAATGTAAGGTATACAGATAATTGTTTTTAAATCATGTCTCTTGACAGGTAATCAGTTTGATCCTCTCTCTATTTAGCAGCTTTGTTTGCCTCTGCCAGAATACAGTATGTTGCTGATTATTCCATGAGAATAGTTTTCGTCAATGCTGAGCCCTCCATTCTCATGACATACGATGCCTCTCAGTGCTTGCATTCCATATGGGCCCTTCGAAGAGTAAAAGCAGAGGTAAAAAAAATAAGGGTGAGGTGAACATGGTATCGTAGAAAACAAGGAGGATAATTGATGGCTTGCCCATTCTGTGTGTGTTTGTTGTTCTGTGTAGTTTGTAACAGTCACCCAAATATGTTGGGTTCTAAGATTTATATATTGGACAGGTCAGCAACTCAGTGGCCTCCTAAGATTTTAGATTATAACTCCCACAATTAATGATCATTATCTGGATTACTGGAAATTTATGAAAGTGATACTTAAAACATCTGGAAGGCCACTTTTTAAAAAAATCCTGTCTTAAAATGTGAAGTTATGCATATGATTATTTGAATCACACAAAGACATTTTTTATTTATCTGTAGGAGCAAAGTGCAGTCTTGAAGGTCTCTGAGCAGACATGGACCCCACAGCATGCAGCTGCCAGCAGTTCCTTCACTGTCCATCTTAAGAATCTATCTAAGGGTGACTCACCTATGGCTTCTCCATTCCAGAACTATTCCTCCATTTGCAGCCAAAGCAGGTCGGCATCATCCCCCAGCATCCATTCCCGTTCACCTTCCATTTCCAACATGGCAGCATTGAGGTAGGTTGTTCACTTTTTCCTCTCCTTGTACTTTCTCTTATTTCAGGATTATAATTATAGCAGGGATCAAGCATGCTGCTGAGATCTACATTTCCTTTATTTATGACTATTTTGTAAACAATGAAACAGATTTCAAAATTTTTAAATTTTAGGAGTTCCTGCTATAGTCATAAATACTTGATTTGGTAATTTCCCCCTCTCAGTTTTTGAGTAACCCTGAATAATTTCAGTGTCACAGTTATCTTATATTTATATTTTGGCATAAATGCTTATAGTATTTTATTTCATGAACGAAGGCAAATATGCACATCTCAGGATAATGTTGCAGGATACAATCTGGGTCGGTCACCAGGACCAGAGGTTTAGTCATGTCACATTCTGGTGAGAGAAAAGTTCCCTGAGGATGGGCTCCAGCACGAGCCCAGAAATTCAGAAGACTAAACCTCTGGTCCCAGTATTTTATTTCATTTAGTTTATTGGTATATAGGAGTCCTTGTTCTGTAGTAGTAGTTGGTAGTTGGCCAGTGGTACTGGCTACCAATTTGGCTGGCTTCAGAATTGGATTGGACCAATTTATTGAAGTCATGGGGATGCCTGTTAGCCTTAATGGCAGTGTTCCTGCCTCCCCATTGGTTGGGAGACTAGTAGCTCCCTTGTGTAGTTGGTTGGCCAGTGTGGGAACAGACTACTAGACTAGGTGGCCCAGAGTTCCAGTCCAGAAGGGCATTGCTTAAATTCTTATGCTATGTTCTTAGTTTGTAGTACTTGAAATCCTAAGATGTAAGAATTTGGGCCTGTAGTGGAAAGGGAAGTTAGTTGCTGTACATGTATTCTCATAGAGAAAATAAATGTATTTCTCTGTCTTTGCAGCCGATCTCATTCTCCAGCCTTAGGGGTGCATTCTTTCTCAGGGGTACAGAGATTCAACTTTTCCAGTCATGTTCAGTCGCCTAGGAGGCACAGTGCCTACCATTCTCCAAACAGTGCTACTGAGTCATTTCTTGCCCCAGAAACTGAACTCATTGTTCCAGAACTTTGCATAGAGCATCTATGGACAGAAGCCTTCACTACCCTGAGGTTTGGAAGAATCTATTCCATCTAAAAGTATAATCTTTACAGAATCCTCAAACCAAATGATTTAACTTTCAAAGAAGAATACATTATGTGGCCATATTTTTGCATGTAATGATAAGCCAGGCATTTGGGGGAACAACAGCCTCTGACTTGAAATTCTCTTGCAACCATGAATGCATTAAGCCTCTATCTCCATTTTCTTTGCCTAATATGTTTATCTTCTTGTATAAATGACATGACAATATTGAGTTCATAAGAGTGAACATTCACATTGTGATTTAATAAGCCAGGATCATAAGCTTATTGTGCAGTAAAATACAGTTGTTGCACTGAAACAGTGAAGAGCATTAATAGTGTTCCCCCCCAATATGGAAACTTGATAAAACCATAGTATGGTTACCCATTCAGTCTGATTGAACTCTGTGATTTCCTTCTGAGTTCATATATATAAATATACATTTAGTATTTAGACTGATAAGACATACTTAAGTTTTTTAATTGAAGGTCTATATTAATTATTTTTTGCTTATAAATGTTGATAGGGAGAAGAATTGTCAAGCCTCAAAAGTATTCATTACAACTGATTTTTGTGGGCAAAAGTTTTTGTGCTATTTAGTAGAATCCCAGCTCCAATTACGGTGAGTATGTTTTGATATTTATTATTTTTATATATTGTATACATTTAAAAATACAGCTTGGTTTTCCAAATGCATAGGAAAATATTTGAATTTTTTCACATTTCGTGTATTAACCGGCTCAAGGTTGATGCAACCTTTCATCCTTCCGAGGTCGGTAAAATGAGGACCCAGATAGTTGGGGGCAATGTGCTGACTCTGTAAACCCCTTAGAGAATGCAGTAAAGTATTATGAAGCAGTTATATAAATCTAAATACTATTGCTAATTTGTAATTATCTGAGTGAATCTGATCAGAAGTTTCATTTTTAGAACTAAAGTGAATACCCTATGCCCTACCATTCAGTTATCATGCCAAACTATACTTAACAATTCATGGCTTATAACCTATGTATAAATCACATTTCTGATTCTTAGTCATTGCCTGATAACAAAGCATAACCTGCCAATTCAGACATTTGCTCCAAATCAAAGGAAAGCTGTTTTTTTTGTCGAGGCTAAATGCACTCCATCTTAATCTGATGCCTGGGCCTAGGTCAAATATTTATGCATATTGTATTGTATCTCATTTATATACTTTTTTGGTTTCTAGAAAAATTTGTTCCTATTTTATTACAGTCACTTTTATGTAAGATTGTTCTGTTCCCCCCAACTCCACTTTTAGGTGTGTAAAGTTTCAGCAGAGTAATGACAAGTCACAGTTGATCTTTGGTGCCATTACCAATATCCAGGCAAAAGATGCAGCTCCAGTTGATGTAAGTATGAGTGTGCGATTTTCGTGTAACTTGTATTAATTGACAGCATTTACCCAGATTATTGCAGATTAATGTATTCTCTTTATTTGATGGATTTATAGAACGTTGAAACAATGCTGGTTCTGGAAGGCAATGGAAACTTAGTGCTATATACTGGAGTGGTTCGAGTATGTAACTTATTTTTCTTCATTAATAGCTTATATATGTTTTATCCATGGTTTGTTTTGTAATATTTCTCTCTCTCTCTTATCTTATGCAAGTCCTTTCTATTCTGTTTATGTGCCCTCTTTTTTCTTTAGTATTTCCCCTATGTGTAATAGCAATTCTGTTCTTCTTTCCATTTCCCTTTCATTATAGTGTGTGTGAATCTTGTTTTCTTCAGATGTGCGCTATTGTACTCTATTGCCTCTATTTCAATGAGATTTAGGGTCAGACATGTGACAGTCATGTCTGTTTCTTCCTCTTTCCTACTCCCACTTATTTTTGAAAACAATATGAAAAATGAAAGCTGCAATCAAAAATAAAAAAGGAAGCGCCTTTTAAAATTTTCCACTCTGAGAGAGCTTTTTTTTCTTTTATAGTAGAAATCATATTGCTCAGGGCAACCAACACAAAAAGGGCAATTTCCAATAGAAAATGCTCCAGAAGATGAAAAAAAATTAAAATAAGGGAACAGGAAATTCAAAAGCTGATCATTAAATCAGCCGCTTATGAGGGATGCTAACGTTTACCTGAAGGAACCAGGTCCTCTGTTGTACTGTAGGGAATATCTCTTTCTTTCAGCTCAATAATGAAAAGAATAAACAAAAATTTCATAAGATTTTTAAATACACATTATAAACATATACTCTTGCATAGTCTCAGAGTGAGCGGAGACAGATTTGGGGCATTATTTATTTATTTTGCTATATCTCATGTGTGCAAAAATTGCCAGTTCTTTGGGTAGGCACTAATAGGTTAAGTAGTAGTTAAGGTAAAATCTAAGGTAGCTGCGTATTGTCAGGATTCTTTCAGAATTGAACTAGAAGATCTGCAGCTAGAGATTCAAGAAAACAGCTTTATTAAATACTTTTATTGTAGATATTAGAAAAATCTTAATAACAAGGCTCTTAATATTTAAGCTCTATATACAGGTTATTTCTTTCATCCTTACTATGTAATGAACTGACAATTGTTCATTTCTCATTGGGAGATGTGATTGGCACCCATGTATCTTCAGATTTTGCTTGTTTTTGCTGTCACACATAAGACATCCAGTTCTGTCCAATGGACATTTTATCACAATAGTTGTTAAATATAGATCTTGTTCCAGCATTCTAGATCAGTGTTCTTCAAACCTGACAACTTTAAGATGTTGAGCTGTTCAACTATTCTAGAATAATTGCTTAGGCTTAATGTCTTAAGAATATTTTACCTTTAAAAACTACCTATATTGAAACAACTGTTTGCTTTGTTTCCTATTAAAAGGTAGGAAAAGTATTTATACCTGGTTTACCAGCTCCTTCAATGACAATGTCAAATCAAATGCCTCGTCCAAGCACTCCCCTGGATAGTATCAGCACTCCTTCCAAGCCTTTGAATAAACACCTTGGTCCCTTAGACGAGGTAAGGAATAATGGCATTTCTTTAGTTGGCAAGGCTTGCATTGCATATTTTTTATACATCTCTGTATATTAATATTAAAGAATCAGTTCAGAAATTTTGCCTTACTGAGTGGCCTTGTTTTCCTTAGAGTGGCTTTGTATCAGCAGTTAATCAGACCTCTTTGTACATAGATGCCAAGTCACCTATTCCAATTGTCAGTAACCCAAGATTGTAATTAATATATTCAAGTGCTTTTCAGACTTGGCAATTTTAAGATGTGTGGACTTCAACTCCCAGAATTCCCTAGCCAGGCAGAGAAACACTGGTGTATACTGAGGATTGCCCATGGTCTTTTATTACAAAGTCCAAAAATTATAAATCTAGGCCATATTACAGGTTAAGAAAACTACACGGAAGTCTACTAGGACTTCAGGTAGACTGCTGTTCCCATTGCTACTCACCACTGAAGTTCAGCATGTTCACTTGAGCTATATGTTACTCATGTTTGATTCAAATAGCAGTCAGTGAGAATTGCTAATTTGAGAGAGGGATGAACTACATCATCTTAGATTTTTTCCAACTATGATTTCCTGTGATGGTTTTTCCTTTTCTCCTTTTATAGCAAGGTGTGCTGTCCCCTGTTCCAGAGTTGAGGGATTCCTCCAAACTTCAAGACTCCTCTTATATTGATGATTGTACTTTTCAGCAACTTTCAACTTTTATTCATTCTGTAAGAGATCCTGTTCAGAACAGAGTGACTCTGGTAAATTTTACTCCTTAAGTTGAATGATTTGCTCAAATATCGCTTGTATTTGAATCTCTAAACTGTGGTTTGAAGGATTTACTCTATTGGTGGTGGTTTGGATGTAAATATTAACTCAATGTTTTTGTGTTAAACTGGCTTGTATCTGGAGGAAATAAAAGATTTATTAATACTGGGAAATGCTTGAAAACTGGAAACTTATCTGAATAGATAAGGTTTGAGCTTAAAAATGCTTTAGAAGTAGGACATAATATACACATAGCATATGTCTACTGTGATTATCTGAGACAGAAAGATCAGAACATTGGAAAGTATTGGTCAAAAGAACCCTGTTTGTTTCCTTGTCATGCTAGTATTTAGGTACTTGGGCAAATTTCTTTTACTGTATTTAAGTACATTTTACAACATGGTACAGTGTAGAGTGATTTACTGCTATGGGATTAATTGATTTTTAATCCCACCAATTATAAAAGTGTCCTGCAATTAATATTTGTATCATTAAATTATTTTATAAAGAGATGTCTCCTAGTGTTTTACTTAGTTTTCTTGATGTATTAACTTTCTTGAACAATTAAAGTAGAGGATAACAATGAATCCTTTCTAACTAAAACCCTCACAAGGCTGGAGACAACAGCTTTCTAATTGTCTTTAGGATACCTTAAATCTGCTATAGTTTATATAATAATACATATTGCAGATGCTGAATGTACTCCTTGTGGAATGATGCAATGAATCTTTCTTCTTTTAGGAATTTAATAATGGCTCAATGGTTAGAATCACCATTCCTGAAATTGCAACTTCAGAATTAGGTATGATGTCAATTCCATACTCTCCTTTTCTTTTTATTAAGAATTGCTGCGGAATCGAGCAAATTAAAAGCCAGCCATCATTAGAACTGCTGTTGAATCTGAGGCCTTAACAATCCATTTCTCTGTCTAATTAAGTTAAAAAAAACCCAGCTAGTGTTAAAAATTGCTATTGTTCATCTCATTTCATTGGAAACCTGTTGCATTCTTCCACGTGCAATGTGAAGTTTAGTCATCTTGATTTTATTGAAATATGCAAGCTGATCTTTTGCTGAAATAATTGTATTGGCCTTAAATATGCCAAATGAAGCATAGAACAAGCCTTTGGCTTACAAATAACTGGATTTTACTGACTTACTAACATTCTTTTTTGTGTTCTTCCTGCCTTACCTTGAATAGTCAGAACATGTTTACAAGGCATTAAGAGTATCCTTCCCAAAGAGACTGCTGTCCAAATACTTGTCAGATGGTATAATGCCTACAATGCACCTGGAGGGCCAAGCTACTATTCAGAATGGACCTTATTTGTGACCTGTCTCTTGAACATGATGGGTTATAACACAGAGAGAGTGGCATGGACACGCAACGTAAGTAAACTTGCAGTCTTATAAATGACAGTGGCTGCCTTGGAAAGTGTGATGGTATTACCTTTGTTGTAGGTGTTTAAACAACGACCGAATGATCATTTATCTAGAATGCTTTAGTAATGGATTCTTACTAATAGTGGGCTGATCTTCAAGTTCCTTTCTAATCCTTCCATTCTGTGATTCTTGATTTCAAGTCATCTGCTAATATCATTCAGAAAAGTCATTCTCTATAAGTGCTTATTATTTTCAGATACCCTCAGTAAGATAGTACTTGCCTTGCTAATATTAATAAAAGAGACTATTGAAATAATGTTGCACTCTTCTTCCCCTCATTTCATCTCTTCCCCATGTTTTACTTTCAACTCCTATATTTTGCAGAAATCTAGTGTTTTTTATTTGACTGAATACACAATATCATTTGGTATTACATGGATCTTAGATTAAAAGGAATCTTAGATGCATATGAATTTCTATTATAGGAACATTTGCTCATAATGATTTTTGTGCCCAAATAGAAGTGATACATAGAGTTACTATTCATTATTTTGAATTTAATGTAAGTGTAACACTGAAATGTGAATTTTCTGTTATTTTATAATTTACAAATATTTTCCTTGTGAGTGAAACTCAGAAAGATGTTTTTATAAACAATACTAGCAACAGTGTACAACTTGATTTGGGCTTGCTGTCAGAGCAGATCTCATCTACAGTCTCCCAGTGGCTATTCCTTAAATAGATTAGCATGGTAGTCTTAATAGAAATTCTTATCTTACTGCCCTAACCATTCATACTAAATTTGTGTTACTATACCAAAAATGATACATGGAAACAATTCATAAACTGCCTTACATGAATCCATCTTTGCTGCATATATTGTGGTCAAGTGTCTATGTAGTAAATTGTTGTCTGGAAGCAATTCACCAACCAGTTAAGATGGTTATACCTGATTGCTTCTCCTTAGCCCCACTGCATCCAGCTTTTTTTATTTCCAAGTTGGTTCCATTAAGCTGGGGGTATTGAGTTTTTAAAAAGAGTTGTTTTGAATCCTTGTATCCATAATTTGTGGACTAGGAGATACAGTAATATATTCATTCTTTGAAATTGCTTATAGCAGAAAATATGTAAAAGAATAATGGAAAATTTTATGTAGAAGTTTTGAATTTCATCACAAATGGATCTGAAATATTCCTGTGATACCCTGAATTTCTATGTGATGATTACTTTTCTGTTCACTTCAGCTTGATTTTGAAGGATCTCTTTCGCCAGTCATTGCTCCCAAAAAAGCTCGGCCTTCAGAGACAGGATCAGATGAAGTAAGAGAAGAATTAATTAATTAATCATTCCAGACAGGTTAATGGATTATTATACACACAGCAAAAAAGAGATTTGTTTTTGTCGTAAGGCTAATATAATTTGTTGATTTATGATTTAATGAGTAGCAACTTTATCTTCAAAAGAGGTTCCATGTGTTACTAAAGGAAATTGACATAGAGATGTGCAAAACAATTATTTTGAGTTTGAAACAGGCTATTCTGATCTTGAGACTAATTTGGTACAGTGGTTAAAGATGCCAGGTTAGAAACTGAGAGGTAATGAGTTCTAGTCCTACCTTTGGCATAAAGCCAGCTGGATGACTAATCTAGTCACTCTGAGCACTAAGAAGAAGGTGATGAGAAAACATTGCCAAAAATCTTGCTGAGAAACTGCATGGACTGCCAGGCAATCGCCAGGAATCAGGACTGACTTGAAGGCATAGATATGCATGCACAACCCCCCCCCCCACACACACACCTTATAGGAAATTTTCTGACACTTTTTCAGTTACACAGAAATGTTCTCATGTTGTTCGGACCTTGTTGAAAAATGGTAAAAGCTTTAAATAACACTGTTTTGAACTTGGAATGCTTACAATAAAATCAGATGAATTATTCAAAACAGTAAGTAGTATGCATATCTCTAATTACAAATGTATGTACGTAAGTATGTACATATTGTACAAGTCAGGCCATAGTCTACCTAGCCAAGCAGGTTTTACTCTGACTTATTAAGTTCCCTCGTAGCGGGGAGCTCAGTCAAATATTAGGAAACTCCTGCAAAAATCTGTTTGAAATCCAGGCATTTCGGGAGAAATGATTTATTTTGATCTATTGATCAAATGTATATAGCCCCCCCATATCACAAATGTTTGAAGTTGAATGAATGAACATTACAGGATATGATTCCCCACCATCTTGCAGACATGTAGGACCAGCTCCTCAATCTCAGCCATCTTAGTCAATAAGTGTAATGTTATGTGAGAGTGACCTTGTGAGGTGAGGGGAAGAGATGCTGCCTAGGAAATGATCAGACTCGAAAGGGGAGAACTGCCCCCCCCTGTGGTCTAAGGCTCAGAAGAAGAAAGTTAAGAAGGAGTCATCCTGATTGGTCAGGCAGTTAAAAGTGGCAGTGGGTATAATTGAGTACTGCAGTGCACTCTACATGAGGCTGCCCTTGAAGACCATCTGAAAGTCTTAATTGGTCTAGAATGCGGCAATGCAGACAGTGATGGAAATTTCTCAGTATGCCCAGGTAACACCTATGCTTCATGAACTGATGCCAGTTTGTTTTTGGGTGTGATTCAAGGTGCTGGTTGCTACTTATAAAGCCCTCTATGGCATAAGACCTAGTTACTTTAAGGATCACCTGTCCCCCATTGTATCTACCCAGCTGGTTTAATTTGGCAGGGTTGGTGTGCTTTGGGTTCCATTGCTTAAAGAATGCCACCTATCAGGACCCTGAAAATGTGTCTTCTCCATAGTAGTACCGGCTGTTTAGAAGGGGTTTTCCTCAGAGATTTATATAGTCCCCACCTTATTAGTATTTTGAAGGTCCTAAATATGTGGTTCTTTGCCCAGGCCTTTGATAAGAATAATTGACTTTTCTTCCTTTTCTATGTTATTTATTTATTTATTTATTTATTTATTTATTTATTTATTTTTCAGCTTATATACCCCCATCTCACTTTATTAAAACCAATACAAACATTAAAACAATACATAATAACATTGAATTAGTTTAAAATTAATAAGGTGGGATGGAATGGAGCAAGATGCGCAGGTGGGGCAGGTGGGATATTAATTTAGTCTGTTAACCACCTTCAGAATGATGCACCCCCATTGGGATCTCAGGCCACTTGGCAGAGCCGGATCTTCAGGCCTTTTTGGAAGATCAAAAGGGTGAATCAAAAGGGGGGGAGGGGCACACTGTTTCAAAGGGCAGGAGCCTTGGCAGAAAAGGCTCTTTTTCTGGACCCTACCAGTTGGAATTCCTTGACTGACTGGGTCCACTGCGTGGCCTTTCTGCTGGCATGAGTGGCATGAGTCCATCAGGGTGAGACAGTTCCTCAGCTAAGCTGGACCTATGTTATGAAGGGTTTTAAAGGTGATAGCCAACACCTTGAATTGGACCTAGAAGCAAACTGGCAATCAGTGCAGCTTGTGGAACAGTGATGTAACATGGACTGCCTTAGAGATCCCAAGAACTGTCCTTGTGGCTGCGTTCTGTGCCAGTTGTAGCTTCCAGATACTCTTCCAGGGTAGCCCCTTGTAGAATGCATTGCAGTAGTCCAAGCAAGAGATGCCAGTGTTTCCTTCTGAATTTATTTTCTCTGCCATCTCTGTTCTTTTGTGTTGTTCTTGTGTTTTTGTATTCGTTTTTGTTCCTTCTTTTAAATGTTTTTAACAATTTATAAACCATCCAAAGTTGCTGGAGGCCAGGCAGCATATAAATTTAATAAATTATTTATTATAATTATTATTCCCAATAGGGTACCATGCTGCAGGATATTATTTTTTATTAAATTTATAAGCTGCCCATGTCACTTAGAAATTACTCTAGGCCACGGGTATCAAATTCACCGTGTCACGTGATGTGTCGCAACGTATTGCGACTTTTTTCGCATTGCCAGAGCTGGGGTGGGCGTGGCCTCCGCATGATGCAACCGGCCTGTGGGACAGCAGTTTGACATCCCTGCTCTAGGCAGTTTACAACCAAATAAAAACAACAAGATCAAACATTAAAACAATAAATATTAACTAAATATATTTAAGATGCCTCAATTTTTTAAAATTCCAGTATAATACTAATATGTACATTTTAAACATCTTTGTTACTTCTGGCCTCTGTTGTTATTGTGTCAAAATGCTTACTTCAACCTAACAATCCAGTACGAAGCACTCTATTACCTGTTAATGTTTGTTTTACCAGGACTGGGAATATTTACTAAATTCGGATTACCATAAAAATATTGAGTCTCACCCTTTGGCTAAAGCTCTGCGACTGGATCCATTGGAAGCCAAATTCCCTAAGGATAATCCTTCACACAACCACTGCTTGGATTCCACCACTCTTCTCTTCCCCCACATCCCTGTAATTTTCTGTGTGCTGCATTTAATCTATGAGGAACTCAAGCTGAACTGCTTGATGAGTGAAGGAATTCGTTCTCTTGTTGTTCTTCTGGTACAACTGGCAAGGTCAGATCTCCTTGAAAGAAATTTGGGCTAGTTGTGTTCTTTGGCAGTAATTAAGACACCTTGGAATGAAACTTGTAAGCAGATATACCTTAATCGGAGTTTTATCTGCTGCATTTCAGTTAGCGGAGTGAATACAAGAGCTTCAAAGAGAAAGGAGATAAGGCTTCTTTTGCCTGGTTCATTTTGGTTTGCCGCTTCATTGTTATAGGCTGCCATCTTATAAATCTTGGAAATATGCCACAGAGGAAATAATATTCTGGGGATCTTGCTAGCTACAGGCTAGGAAAATTGTTAATGCTCCACCTGTTGTGGTAGATGTATTCCAAAAACGAGACAAGTGGATTTGGAATAGTATTTGATCCCCTGAATTTAAAAATGGGGGTGGGGGGGAAGAGTATAGGTAGTCCTTGGCTTACGACCACAATTGACCCAAACATTTATGTTGTTAAGTGGGACATTTTAAAGTGAATTTTGCCCCATTTTGGGACCTTTCTTGCCACAGTTACTAAGTGAATCATTGCAGTTAAGTTAGTAACACAATGGTTAAGTCAATCTGGCTTCCCCATTGACTTTGCTTGTCAGAAGGTCGCCAAAGGTGATCACATGACCACTGGTCACTGCAACTGTCATAAATATGAGTCAGCTCTCAAGTGTCTGTGTTTTGATCACGTGACAATGGGGGATTCTGCAATGGTTGTAAGTTGTAAATCCTAAGTTGTAAGTCAAAAGTCACTTTCTTCAGTGCCGTTGTAACTTCAAACAGTCACTAAATGAACTGTTCTAAGTCAAGGACTACCTGTGTTCTGTCTAAGCCAGGATGGTAGAGTAATTGGCAGTTCTTTTTCGTGCAACCTCTTAATGTTTCTTGAATTATTTTTTTCATTAATGTTTTTAGGTTTATTTGATCTATTGTAAACCTTTGTAAGCATGAATGTAACAAGATATAAACTCTGGAAAAATCAAGAATGTTTAGCTATTGCAATGCACATTTTCTAAAAGGTGCCTATAGCATTGTGCCTGCTTCTGCACTGCAGAAAATGTAATGTATATTGTGATCTTAAGGTGGAAATCTGTTGAAATCAGTCAGAAACTACAGGGCTGTCCTTATCACTAGGCAACATATAAATGCATAGTTTGGTTATTAGAAAAATGAGAGAAAAGTGGCAACTATATTTTTTATCCCCATGAGTTATCAATTGGCTTTTCTGCCTTGGGTGCCCAAATATCAAGGACTGCCTGCTCTTGCTTTCCTTATGTCCTTGTGACCTGGAGTTTTGAAAATAGTTGAATCCCCATTCTCTTCTCCCCTTTCCTTAATTACCTGAAGAAGCATCTTCTCAGATATCTACCTACTTGGAACCTAGGAACTTTCAACCAAGATCTTTTCCAAATGCTTCCTCCAGTGAGGCAATTTCCCTCCACAAAAGAAAAAGCCATGTCAGCAATGTCCCAGAGAACCTCATCTGATGCCTTCATTATGGTCTGTCTGGCACCAAGAGAATATTTTTTTGTTTACCCCAACATTTTAAAAAAACCATTTTAGAATAATGAAATATTGTTTTGATCCAATTTTACTGTAATTTGTGCTGCTGCATGCTCTTGTAATCACTACTTTTGTTTTGATCTATACGATGCTGGCATTTTTATTGTAAACCATAGTTTATATGTTGCATGCTTTTAACAAATAGGCACTCTAACAAAGGAAGTATCAGATCATTTAAAAATGTAATAAGTAAATATATGTCTTATATTTTTTGTATTCATCATTCAGTTTTTATATTATTCTCCTTTTAGGGATTTAAAACTGGAAGCTTATCTTGACTATTACTACAGAGACTATCCGATGCTTGTCAAGGATTCCAAGCAAACATGCATAATTGATCCTAGTAAGTATCAAGGAAACAAATAGAATTCTTGACTAAAGATAGTGTGCATTATTAATAATTTTAATACAAATATTTGAATTTCTTTCCAGGTTTATCATAGATGTATTAAAATAATCAAATCTCAGCTGATATGATCTTTCTTTCTGCTTTTTGTGGGAAATCTAGTAACATTGTTTTAGTTAACTGAAGGTGAACAAGAAATATGTAATATTTTATGGTTATTATAACCCATCATAAACAATTCTTATTATATTTCTTCTAAGCACAACATAATAGGTTTTTTCTTCTGCTTAAAAACAGCTGCTGGTATCAGAACATTTATTTCATAAGCGTAAATTTTGAAAATGAGAATCCTGAGGAGTTTTTTTTGGGTGACATTGTTTTGCCTTCTGAGTAAATGTGGGAGAAAGCTCAGCCTTTTTGAAGTCTGTCAGTAAAAAAACCAATCTTACCACAGATGATATGAATATTATTATAATTTGAGAATGTGCCCGTGCTGTGTATAATAGGTGATACCCAAGAAAAACAAACAGATTGCCATTATAATAATAGCAAGGAAAATAAGTACTCCTGCCATCAAGGAAATTAGCACTGTTTTTTAAACGGTGACTTTTTTCATTCAAGAAAGACTTAGGTATCACCAATGACAATTTAGTGCTTTTCAAACCTGGCATCTTTAAGTTGTGTGAATTTCAACTCCCAGAATAGTGTCGGTATATTTCAACTCCCACAATGGCTAGGGAATTCTGAGAGTTGAAGTCCAGATATCCTAAAGTTGCCTGCTTTGAAAAATCCTGGGTTTATATATAGAAAGTCTAATGCCCCCCCAAAATAGCTTGGTTCTCCATTTTAAGGTAGCGTTGATATAATTTTTAAAATGCTATATGAATGACTCCAGTTCTTTATGTTTAAGCCCAAACAGGCTTTATGCATCATCCTTCCTTTTTTTCGGCTGAGCCACCAAGTATCTTTCAGTGGCTGTCTTCTTGTTTGAAAGGAGAAAGTGTGTCACCTTATCCTTACTTGCCTGGAATCTGTGAAAGGAGCAAGCTGGTAGTGCTGGTATGTATTAAACTAACATTCTAGAGAAGTGATTTGATTCATTGAATATAAATTCAAATACTTAAACGAAAAAAAGGTTTTTCAGCTGCAAGCTACCTAGAATTTTCTGGATATGAGAAAAAGATAGATTGAAGGAAGAGAGGAAGACTGGCTGAATTCACAAAGAATTGATTTGTTAGGAACGAATTACTCAACAATCAATTGCTGTTATGCTATAATTCTGCTTCAAATAAAGGAGAAATTTGTTTGTATAAACTACTCAGATATGTTTGACTGCAGCTACTCAGCCTGTGGTTCTGGATGATATGTTTATGCATACAATTATTGTGGTATTAGTCAACTATTGGAGGCTTTTTTTAAAAAAAGAAAAAAGTACAGATAGACAGGTGTCACTTTTATTAGTCTGTTTTTGCCAGAAAATACCTTGAGTATTACTTAATATAGAAAAGGACATATTCTTCCTCCCTCACTCTGAGGATGCTTTCTAAACAAAGATTTATTACAGTTGAACAGATTCATAATGTACCTTTAAATAGTTTTTTTCTATTTTCTGAGAGAGAAATACATACTGGAATTTGGAATTTCAATATTTATTTTATTTATTTATTACATTTCGATCCCTAATATAGAAATGCACCTGTTTTCCTTAACAAAAACAAAAAACAAAAAAAGTTGTATGCATATTTATTTGAAATAAGATTTTGAGCAGTAACCTTACATCAGATGTGCTGAAGCCAAAATTCTAAAAGCATAATTTAGGTATTAGTATGGATACCCTTCCTAAATTATAGCACTATTATGCGACTTGTGAGGTTGATGCCATGGCAACAGGATGTGACTCCCCAACAGTGTCTCCTGCCTATGGCAACATTTGTTTTACATACAGATTTCAAATAATACTCTTGGTATTACCAGCTGAAATGATCTGAAGGTGCAGAATTAAAAAGACTGTGCCTAAGGCCTTGAATGGTTACTGCTTATAAATAATATTGGTTTTAATAGGTTAATAGTTTGGATCTAAATAATGCTGCTTCATATCTTCATGTAAATTTGCCAGAGCCTGGCTTAATTTGGTCTTGAATATAGAAGTACATCCTCATGTATATTTAGTAAAGATCTCCAGATTCTTTTAAGCCCAAATATTGGCTCATCTCTTTTCCCGCTAAGATGAATTTGCTGACTCTTATGTAAGCAGACTCTAATGCAACATTGCTTCCTCCCGGGCAGAGCGTTGTACTGTATATACTTGGTGATGAAAGTGCTGTTTCAAATGAAGCCTCCAACTATTTGTCCAGGATAACAACAGGTAATACAATTTCAGAGCTACACAGATTCTGAAATGGATGTTTTTGCCTATTACTCGATTCATCATCCCTGCTGTAAAAGGATAGGAGTGCTTGCATTTCCATTGCTTCTCCTTTTCTCTTTTAGGACAGCGAAAGCAGCAGACTGAACAGGAAGAATCTAGGTATGTTATTTGGCGGAGGAGAAAATGTTGCCATTTGGAAGCTGTTCTCATTTGTTAGCTCTCATGAATAACATTAGAATGTAGCTCTAAGGATATTTAAGGGGCTCCCTTGTGTTTTTGCACCCTCTCCAGTTTCTTCCTTCACTATTTTAAGCGTGCTGTACTTCATTTCCCTGCAAGGCTGCAAAATGAACCCGTTAAAGTGAACAGAGAGACTAAGACCCATGTATACTGCTAAGAAGAGGGATCTTGCCCTTATTCTTCTACATTGGCTTGTAGGATTCCATACCTGTGGATTTTTCCCCTTTTCAGGCAATATTTAAAAGTGTTGGGATTCAAGGTTTCTGGAAATTGTATATTCTGATTTGTTGTAGTTATAGTCCTTCTTATCAACTATCTGTTACACAACACTAGCAAAGCTAGAAGAAATTTTCCTTCTGCCCTCTTCAGCAGCCCAAATTTCATAGCTGTAAGTGCTTGGAAATTTTTGTAAGCAGTTTATCTTCAAGCATCCTAACTTGCCTTTCCCTTATTTCCCATTTGTAAATTTCTGGGTACTTTGTTTATTACAGAAATATTTTTTATGACTCCCATAATACAATAGGACAGGGGTGTCAAACTCAATTTCATTGAGGGCCGCATCAGCATTGCGGTTGCCCTTGGGGGGGGCGGGTGGGGGGGCCAGGGTGGGTGCAGCCTATTGGGGAGGGCTTGAATGGAGTGGGTGTGGCCTACTGGGTGGGCATGGCCAGCTCTACATCGTTCCCGTCAAGGGTGCCTGTGGGGGCCTGGGCAGGAGTGGGACAGATCTGAGGGTCTCTGGCAGAAGGGGATGGGACCAGGGCAAGCGCCAAGGCATGGTCCATTTCTTCATTCCTCACAAAGGGTGACACCTCCCCAACATGCACCCAGGGAGCAGGGCCGACACAGCAGGGGGTGGTTCCTCGCTGTTTCTAGACGGCCTTGTGGAGCTAAGACTGAATGCGTTTCAGCATAGATGGCCACCACAAAATTGTACATTGGCTCCCGGCTGGCCTGGGCCAGGGCCAAGGCAGCGGGGGCCGTTCCCTCATTGTTTCCAGGATGGCTTCGTGGGCCACATGAAACCACTTCGCAGGCTGCATCCAGCCCCCGGGCCTTGTGTTTGACATGTCTGCAATAGGAAGTAGGGAATAGAGGTCCTTTTAAAGGGGCAGTATGTTGGAAAAGGATGCAACATATACATTGCAAAAGAATCAGTAAGTTATATTTATTTCCTTTTTAGCAGGTGCAATGTGAGGAACAGCCCATCTGCTTCTAGTCTTGCAGAAAAACTAGTTGTCTGGATGGCAAATGTAGGTAAGGAGATCTTCTATTTTTGTTGTTGTCAAAGATAAGGATTTTGTACATCAAACCAAAGACATTTGAATAGATTTGGCATGCAGTGTTAGATTTCCTAAATATATATGGAGAATGGAAACTTTCTTTTTAAGTGACTGATATATGAAGCTAGAAAGAGATAGTAACTTTAATGAACCAGTGGCAACTTGAATGGTGGACTGCTGCTTTTAAAATACCCATTGTTGTCATAGGCCAAAACAGATTTTATAGTTTGGTTATTCCAATTTAGTATAGGAAAAATAGTGGGATAAAGGAAATATGTATACCCAGCTTAAGAATAGGCTTTGAAGTTTGGTTCCATGGAAAATTTTCTGTCTCTTTGTTCCTGGGGCTTTGAATGGATTTATAAAATATGTGAATATTCTGTGAATATGGACTTACAGAATATAGAATATGAAATGATTCTCATTCTCTCTCTTAAACAGGATTCACTTTAAGAGACCTGGAGTCTTTGCCGTTTGGAGTTGCTCTTCCTATCAGAGATGCCATCTATCACTGTCGACAACAGCCTGCCTCTGATTGGCCAGAAGCAGTCTGCCTTCTGATTGGTCGTCAAGATCTTTCCAAACAGGCTCGTGAAGGAAACCTGCCAAAATGTAAAGCAGTAAGTAGTTGAATTTCAAAAAAGCAAAATCGAGAAGATCATTTTTAAGTTTAGCTTTGACATAGTTAGATGTAGATTAGTATTTTTGTCATTTAAATAAAAATTACTTTTTGCCGGAAAGAAGGTTGAACAAATATTTGCATGTGCATCCTTGTATTCAGCAGCTGAGTCAAAGTGCATATCTGTAGAAAGTAAGATGACCTTGATGGGCAATGCAGGAGCTATTGCCTAGGCCAGGGGTAGGCAAAAGGGGCTGTAGCAATTTTTAAGTCCAGAACAACCAGATAATGTTAGGAAGCAACTAATACATGCCTCCCTAATTCATTGAACTATAACAGTGATGGCGAACCTTTTAGAAACCAAGTGCCCAAACTGCAACCCCAAACCCACTTATGCATCGTCGGGTGCCGGGTGGGTGTGGCCCATTGGCTGGGCGTGGCCCATTGGCTGGGCGTGGCTGCGGTGGTAACAGCAGACTGGGTGGGACTAAAAAGTTCAATCAATCAGTTTCAACTTTGCAAAAAAAAAAAATTCCCGCGAGAAGTTGAAATTGATTGATTGAACCTTTTTTTTTTTTTTGCACATGGCAGCGGAGGCCTAAAGCAAAAAGGTTTTATAAAACCCAGCTGAAGGCCTAGGACTGGGGCGACGGCGCGCGTGCCCACAGAGAGGGCTCTGCGTGCCACCTCTGGCACCCGTGCCATAGGTTCGCCACCACTGAACTATGAGAATGAGGAAGAGATACATCATGGTTAGATTTGCAAGTTTCTGTTGTAATAGCTCCTCTCAGTTAAAGCAGATGTAGCTTTCTTTTAGAATTGATTTCTAGGTCAGGTCCATCTAGTGGGGATGACACTATCTTTCTTTTCCACAGTCTGACCCACAAATGTTGTCATCTGATATGCCTGCCACAGTGGAGTCAGAGGAGGACGATGATGGGATGAACGATATGAACCAGGAAGTGATGGCACTGATATGGAGTGAAGACCTGAGAGTGCAAGAGGTGCGCAGGCTTCTACAAAGTGCCCATCCAGTCCGTGTCAATGTAGTTCAGATGCCAGAAGTCAGTGACCATGAATATATTGAAGAAAAAGAAAACCGGTATTTATTTTTTTTGCCTCTTAAAGTTTCTATACTTTGTACAAAGAACTGTACTGTGTTGCATTACAGAACATTATACTGGGAAGTACTGGTTCGTATACTTTTGCTGGAGTAAATTACCATCCTGTCCCAAGACACTGCATATGCGCCTCCACTATGATAGTTACAGCCCTTGCACTGTTAAGTAGTTCTTCCCACTCTTTCTCTTGGCTGGTTAGACAACAGAGTCCGCTGATTGGCAGAAAAATAGATCTCTGTTTTGCATTTGCTATTAATAGAAGGAAACCAAGCAATCTGATCCTCTCAGTCACTGACTGGCAATTAACATTGTCTCCTTGTTGCCAAAACAGAAACAGTGACATGCAATGACAGCAGAATAATGGGGCTACCCTTAGAAACTCAGGTTCTCTGGTTTTTTTATGGTTTATATCTTTGCAAAAAATTGGAAAATGGGAACAAAGAGATGGATGGTGGCTGAATCACTTCCACTACTACTCACAATAGCCCCATCCTCAGTTGGTTCACTCTTACTGGCTATTGCATGTGAGGGACAGAAGGCAGAGGGAGAAGGAATAGATAGCTTCCAAAGTCCTGGGAGGACTGAAAATGGGTTTTTCTCCCCTTGTTGATATACTGCCTGTGCATGGGGTAAATCTTTATCCCAGGGAGATTTGGTCTACTAGATCATGCCGACCACTGCCCAAGTTTGTCTAAGGAAGGAAATGGATGAACTTGAGGTCACAACACCTTTTAAAGTCTGAAGATTAAAAAATGCACTGAAGTGACCCTAGCAGTGTTCACACAGCACAGTGAATCCCAAATTAACATGTTTTAGTCTAGCATGTTGTGGGAATCTAGCATAATGTAACAGAGCACAATATAAACATTATGCTAAATACAGTAAATTAAAACTCCACTAGTTCTGCTGTCATTTGATGTTTTTAAAATGTTTGACGAAGTAAAAAAAACTTTTTAAAAAATTGGTTTTGAAAATGGGATTTTGAAATAAGTGTCTTTTCCATAATTAATCAGTGGTAGTCACTATTAAAAGCAGCAGTAGTTGGTATCAATGAATAGAATTTGGAATATTTTCAAATATGTAGAGGTAACCAATGAAGATGCCACTGAGCTTTTAGCAGAGTTATTCAAGGTCTTAATGTAAAAATGAAACATGAAAATTAGTATTTGCAGACTATATGTTTATTTTTTTATGATGCTTAGCAGTGATGCACCTCGGTTACAGTTTGAATTAAACCAATAACTTGATTATGGTTATGTTTGACGGAGTCAGAACATCTTGTGGGCATCCAATTCATCAGTGTAGCTTTACACAGCTCATGTAGGAGAGAAGAGAAAGGAGGTGATTCACCCTGCTGTATTTATGGCCCAGTTAAAACTTGAGAGGGGAGATGGTTATGGAGAAGCAATTTAAGCAATATTTAAAAATTTTGAAGGGTGGTTGTTATAGGAATCTTAGGGAATTGTATTGAGCTGCTAAGATAGCATGAGAAGCCACTGTCTGCTACTGGTATGATGTGACAACCCTCCCTCCCCGGAGGCAAGAGCATTGATCATGCAGAGAAGACCCTTGGACTCCTTCTGTTAGAGCCAGACTTTTGGGTAGTATTAGAGGAGAGAATTTGCAGTGTGACAATCTTCACCTTACTCAGGGTGAGGTTTGTCTTCAGTTTTATTTGCTACAGTACATGCGGTACACTTCAGCCTTGTACGTTTGTCACTTGGCGGTTGCAACGCCAACGCTGAATTTATTTATTTATTTATTTATTTATTTATACAGTCCATATTATATTGAATTCTGAGTGGCTCCTTTATATTAGGATATTTTCACTGCAGAGATGCTCATATAACCTTACCATATACATTTCTTGCATTTATGACAGCTGGAGGTGCAACTTCTTCCCTATTTTAAGAGGCACCATCTTAATGTACTCACTGATAAATGGAAAGGGGGGGGGGGTTAGGTACACAGCCATTTTCAAAATTCCTTTCAATAAATCTGATTAATGAAACTCTGAGAATGTAACTCATAAGAGTCCCCTTAAGAATCCTTTGTGAGCAGCTGGGAGAAGTATCTTCATGCATATTCATGCATCAGCAACACTTAGATTTAAAGTCTTTCTCTTAAGTGATTGATGCAATTGTAAAGCAGCCTATTAGACTGTTAAACATTTTTATTGCTTGTTTTACAGTTGTATTGTGCTTTTTTTATTCATTCGTATTTATTGATTTTTTAAAGAAATATGTATGCTGCTTTCCCCATTCATAAAACAACTTGCCCAAAGCAGCTTACAAAATATACATTTTAAATGGAAGAAGTTTGGTCCATATATAAGTTGTGTAACATATTTATTGAGAGCCAGTTTGGTGTAACGATTAAGTTACCAGGATAGAAACTGTGACCTTGGGCCAGTTACTCTTTCTAGGAAGCAGGCGATGACTACTTCTGAAATGCATTTCCACGAAAACTGCAGTGATTTGTCAAAGCAGTTGCTAAGAGTCAACACTATGTTAAAAGCACAACTCCACCCCTGCCCCATATTTATTAATATCCCAGTTTGCCATTAAAAAGTTTCCATTTGTTTTCAATATTGTTGCTTACATCCTCTTTTCTGTTATAGGCTTCTGCAATTGTGTCAAAGAACTATGGCTCTCCCTTTGGGAAGGGGGATGTTTACTTTGTTTTCTTATCACCCAGTTCCAACGGAGCCGTTGCCTATTCCCAAATTGAACCTGACAGGTATATTCAACAGAGTGATGCATACTTTGATGCCTACTTGGGTTAAGATGTGAAATTATTTATGCTAAAATGGGGTTTTTTTTATCATACTTTCAATGGTATTTTACCATGCTAGCTGGGGAATGATGATAAATTGTAGTGTGATCCCTAAAATAGGCATTTTCCTATTAAAGAACATCCAAAATTTCAGCTTTATCTCCTTTGTGTCATGTGTCTGATTAACGAAACACTTAAAAGGACTTTCAGGCATATTTTCTCCTAAAAGCATTTATTAAGGTTACAATACGTCAGTACAGCATGGTGGAAATGCTTAGGTCTGCTTCTCTTCCGTTACGCATAACATTCCAAGCATTTTTCACTCCCTTATTGTAGGGTCATGGTTCACATCTTCCAATCAACTTGGAAGATGTGATTTACTTCCAGTTTCTTTCTCCCGGGCTATCCTTATGCTCCTCCCTCTTTCCCAGTTGATGGTTTAACTATATATATACCAGACAGTTCTGCACATTGTCAAAGCAAGAATATACAGTATTTGCAGCATTGACACTTTGCAGCGCCAGCCTGCCTCCACCTCCAGCCCCATGTTAAGTGCAGCCACTGGCTATGGCACATTTGTCCATCCCAGGCCTTCAGTACATTTGTGGAAAGGGGCATTTAGGAACCAGGATCTTTAGATGTTAAACTGATGAATGCACTGTGAGGGAGAGCCAGCCAAGACAGCTACAGCAATCTCCACATCAATTGCTAAAACAATTTTGTTTATGTACAGTTTACTTGCTTTTGGAACCTGACATGTGTTTCATATCCTATAGAATTAGGAGGTACACCCATGTATATCCATACTGTATCTTGTGATGCATGGAGGATGTACTCATTATGGCTGCCTCTTCCTGAACTGTGCATGTGTAGGATGGGGAGAAGAAACTGTATCCAAACTTGTTCTATTATTCAGAGTTAATTCTCTGAATAATTCCTTCATTCTCCTATCTTCCACTTGTAATACTCCTTTTTCAAACGGTCCCAAGTGATTTCCCTTTTTATTTTCCCTTTGTATTAAATAATCTTTGGATTATTTTCTTCGTTTTGTAGTGCATGTTTTGAAGCACCGAAGCTCCTTAGGTTCAACAGAATTGCTCAAAGTAATTTGTAAAGTGCTGCTGTCAGTGTTTTGAAAGCCTAATGCACTAAAAAAAAGAGAATAACAAAATTTGTCTTTTTCGTTGTTTTACACTTCATTTACTTATTTATTTTTAAATTTCATCCTATATAGGCCGGGCTCCCCCTAGGAATACCACAGTGGATCTCAACAGTGGGAACATAGATGTGCCTCCTAATATGGCTTGCTGGGCAAACTTTCACAATGGTGTGGCTGCTGGGTTGAAGATAGCTCCAGCTTCCCAAATAGACTCTGCATGGATTGTCTACAACAAACCCAAAAACGCTGAACTTGCCAATGAATATGCGGGCTTTCTCATGGCTCTGGGTTTGAATGGCCATCTCACAAAGCTTGCAACACTCAATATCCATGACTACTTAACAAAGGTGAGGCCATAATTCAAAAGTAAGAGGTAGACAATGTTTTCTTTGGGCCAATATATGTTACTTTCTTTATATTGAGGTAGATAGGATTATCGCACTAAAAGCCACTTCACAAACTGAACAGTGCCACTGATTAGTTGAGCAGTGAATTTCCTAACCATTTAATTCACTGTAGTGATTGGCACTGAACTTGTATTAGTCGTACAGTTTTAATTACATTATTAGTTGTAATGCAGAATCTGTTCTGTGGGCAGTTTTCTTGTATTGACGGTCTCATATTGATGGTTCCTAATGCAAACTTTAGAAATATACTGAATATTAACCCTTTTATGAATTTTTACAGAATCTTCTGTGCTCCAATTTTGACAGAAGTTTTTATATTTATGACTGATGTTCGGATGTCATAGTGAACTACTATTAATATATAATTATTAATATAAATTGCAGTGCAGTTTAAGAACCACGTCACTAACCGCTAAAATAAGCTCTTGGGTTGTTTCATTTGGTGGCTTGTAAAAGTACTTCTCTTCAAGCAAGATATGGTGTCTGATTTTTGTGGCTCCCTTCCTTTCCATTGGGGTCTTTCCCCATCAGAAATTTCTCCAGCAAAAAAAAACTACAATTCTTTAAATGGAAAGGTAGAGAATGTTTCATCTTACATGGACATGTTTCCTATGAGACAGAGAGTTGCTCCCAAAGTAAAATATAAAATGTAAAAGTCAGTAACAATTATTTTGCAGTGAGTTTTAATTTTGAGCATATGATACTAAAGTATGTGTGCTTTTGTGTGCAGGCAGACCTCATTTAGCAACCGCAATTGGGACTGGGAAGTTAGTTGTTAAGCAAAGCAGTCACTGAGTAAAACCATGACTATATCCTTAAATGATCTTCCTTCAGCTTTGCTTTACTGACTTGCAAAGGTTATAAATGCAATAATTGCTTGTAAAGTTACTTTTATTTCACCAGCGTAACTGTGAATGATCAGTAAAACGAGGCAGAAGCTAAACGAGGACTGCCTGTATTGCCTTGGATTCATTCATGCTTCTAATCAAGATGTTTTTCCCCTAATGGCAGGGTCATGAGATGATGAGCATTGGGTTATTGCTAGGCGTTTCTGCTGCCAAGTTGGGCACAATGGATATGTCTATCACCCGGCTGCTTAGTATCCACATACCGGCTCTTTTGCCTCCAACTTCCACCGAACTGGATGTTCCTCATAATGTGCAAGTGGCGGCTGTGATAGGAATAGGCTTGGTGTACCAAGGGACAGCTCATAGGCACACTGCTGAAGTTCTCTTGTCAGAAATAGGTAAGGAGGAAGCTGGTTGGGATTATATCTGTATTCTACACAAAGCAACCATAATTTGGATTATTTATGTGCTGTTGTTTGACAAAATGTATCACACTAAGACAAGGGAAACTGTTAAAGTGGCTGAGGTGAATGCTTAACTTATTTATCAATCTTATCAATCAAATATATGTAGATGCCCATCTCATGAGAAGTACTCTGAATGGTGTGCAATGATCTAATAAAAAACATACATAAAAACAAGCATGAAAAGTATTAAAAGTCAACCTTAAAAATAGAAGTTAATTAAAAGTATACAAACCTCAGGCAGTGAAAGAATGAATATATTATCCACCTCCTTAGTGGAGCCAAACGTATCGCAGACTGTCTGGGACCCCAAGGCCTGCTGAAATAATTAGCTCTTGAGGAGCTTCTGGAATATCAAAAGGAATGGAGATAACTTAATTTCACGGGGGGGGGGGATGTTCCAAACGTTGGGTGCCACGGCAACAAAAGTGCACCTTCTGCTATATACCAAATGTAAGTCCCTTGCTCCATCCTAGCTGCTTCCTCCATTTCCATTATTTTCTTTCCTCTTCATTAGTGCTTAGTAGTTTTCCGTACTTGTTCTTAATTTATTTGTAATCACTGTTTCTTGTTCTTAATTTGGTGCAAAGTACTTTGCATAAAAAATACAAGGTTTCCCATTTTACCAGGATTTTGAAAGAGATGTTGGATAGTTTCAGTTATCTTATAAAATGAGTTGAAATGTGAAAAATGGACTGAACATGTGAAGTTTTGTCTAAGTTTTTTAGTGGTGAAAATAGTTCAGATATATTGAATAAAAATAGAAAGTTAGCTTGCTCATTTTAAAAGTTGGTTAATAGTTGGATTTATGCATATACTTATTCAGGGCGTCCCCCAGGTCCTGAAATGGAATATTGCACTGATAGAGAGTCCTATTCACTGGCCGCTGGCTTAGCTTTGGGCATGGTTTGTCTTGGGGTAAGTGTGCTTTTTTTCCAAATTGTTGCAGTAATTTCCTTCAGAAACCTGCAAAGGTCAATTTGCTGAACAAGTTGCATATTTCAGTTTCTCTGCAAATATATGAATTGAATTGGGTCACATTTTCTTCGCATACAGAAAGTAAATAAAATGCTTAACTTTGTTGATTTCTTCCTTAGCATGGCAGCAATTTGATAGGCATGTCAGACCTGAATGTGCCTGAGCAGCTCTATCAATATATGGTTGGTGGCCATCGGCGTTTTCAAGCTGGAATGCACCGTGAGAAACACAAATCTCCAAGTTATCAAATTAAGGTAATGTTTTTAGTTTTCCAATATTATACTTTACAGAGAATCAGTCTATTTACCTAAGTAATATCTAAATCGCCTGGAATTTTTTTGTGCACTTCTGCTGTTTGTCCCATTCACCTTTTTTTTTTAGTTAGAGCTTTTACTTATTTGCACATGCCATCCACATAACCACTTGTAAAGCTGAGATGTGTTTTATTTAATATGGAACTTTCTTAGGTATCTTCCATGCCTTTTAAGCCTTGTTACATTCTACCTATAATTGGCTGTGAGAATAATCTCAAGAAAAAGGAAGAACTGCAAACACAGCAATGACCAGATAAGAGAAATATGAGTCCAAAGCAGGAGTAAAGTTTGAGAAAATGTCTCTTTTTCCCTAGTTCTGTTTAGGATAAAAGCATAGAGTGGGGAGACACATATAAAATTGCATGATTCTGTTACTGTAATCTTATAAACATGTTGCAAGTTTAATTTTCAATGCAGTATTTCATCACACACATTTTTTGCAAACACCTTTCTAATTACAATATATGGTTTCGACTTGAGAACTGCTTCATAGACTTCATGGAAAAGTAAAGAATCTGGACTTCCAGTTTGCCATTGTGGCTGCCGCCGCCGCTGGAAGGCAAGCTCCATCTTCCGTGTTCGGTTTCGCTCCACTGGGGGACCCTTGAAAGGGTCGAGAGTCGCCCTGTAGGGGCGCCAAGCAAGGAGGGGATCCCCGCTTGATTGCAAAAGGGCGGTAGCCCTTCTGCTCGATCTGGGGCAGCCCTCCAAACTGGCAGAGGAAAGACCAGCCATAGAAATATGGCTCGTCACTAGGCTGCAGACAGCCAAAGTCAAACTTACCACCAGGCACTTCTAAAGCAGTGCAGATGAGACTGGGTGAGATCTGAACCTCTCTTCAATCCTAAGTATTTTCTTTTCCTGTAAAAGCTGCCCAATGTATCTTCTTCCCTGTGAGGAGAGAGAGAAGGGAACTTCTATCCACCCTCTAAAAATAATGGCAACTGACTATCCAGGAGAGTTAAAACACTGAAAGAATAACCTTAATCTAACTGGATTTATATGCTTCTAAAATTTGGGGACCAAAAGACTTTGGTTTTTATTTACAAAAAAGAAATAAAATTGGAAAAGGATAATAAAAATTTTGGACTTAAACATCCTTAAACGGCATTGGTGATATCTTGTGGCCAAGTTTGATATTACAACTTGTTATTGTCTAAAGGAGACTTGGCTGGAAGCCCAGACTACAGATAAGACTTTTTCAACCTTGACAAATATCAGCTGTGAGAAGCTCAATTGTGTTCTATACTCAGTTATAAAATTATTTTCATTCTCTGACTTTAAAGCTCTGAATTTAACACACCATTAAGAGAATATGGATGAAGACCAGGAACAGATTCTCTTTATGTTCAAAGCAATACATGAAACCATTCTTTCAGCTTGTGATGAAATAAGATGCTACAGTAAAGAACAAGATGTCAACCTAGATATACGAACCCAAATTTTGACTACAATTAAAGAATCAACTATGCAGAAGATAACAGAAGAAGTGGAACAATTAAATACTATGATAGAGGATACAATTGACCAACAAATACAGTCAATGGAAAATCCAGAAAAGGGACTGACAATGCTGAAAATGGAAAAGACTTTCTATATAAACCAGAAGAAACTTGAGGAGGAAGAAGAAGAACAGACCGAAGGGAAGACAAACATATCAGGACAACTATGGGGATCTGGAATAATAGAGAGACCATTCGCTAGCCCTTCCCAAAAAATGGCGACTGGATGGTCTCTTTTATTTCAAATAATATATATAACAACAGAGGGAGATCTATTTGATGACTTAAAAGCACTGACATGGAAGGCGAGCTGGCAAAGGAAGAAAACCAGAATAAGGCTGAAGAAAACTGGGGTTTTGATTTATTAGAGAGGATTTTATATTACTAATTAAAATAGAATATACTCAAATAGACAAGATATGTATTTTGAATACTAGATTTTGTTATGAATTGAGATAAAGAAAATTTTGGTCAGTTAAAACTTGGAAGTATAAATATTAAAAGTTAAATTTGAATATTGATGGGAAATTAAAAATTGGGGAAAACAAATAAATAGGGTATTGATTGTCTATAAAGATAGAATGTAAAAGTAATTAATATATGTATAAGCTAAACATTTATTGATAAATGTAATAAACATGTTTTTACTTAGTTGATATAATAAGAAAGTAGATATTAAGCGTTTTTCTCTCTTTTATAAACTACAACTTTATTCCCTTTAAAACCAGTAATTTAAATTCTGTAAACCTTTAATCAACTTTTATTCCTACAATATGACACAATAATTAATCTACTATATTCTACCACCCTTTATCTTATATGAGTATATCTATTCTACACATAGAACTTATAATCTGAAACAATACTTAACACTATTTCGAAACTTTGGTTACCTAAAACTTGGAAATTATAGATATCAAATGTTAAATTTAAATATTGATGGGAAACTAAAAATTGGGAAAAACTAACAACAGGACATTGATTGTCTATAAAGATTGAATATTAAAGCAACTAGGATATGTATAAGCTAAAAATTTATTACTTAATTGTTATAATAAGAACTGTATTAGTTCAAATATGAGACAGTAGATATTAAGGGAAAAAGAGAGGAAATATTTGATGTGGTAGCTTGAGATTTGTACTAAAGATTTTTGTATGTTATTGAATTATCGATTAACCCACGTTGCTTTTTAAATACGTAAATGTAAAATTAGAAAATCAATAAAATATTACAAAAAAAAGGAAAAGTAAATATGGTTCCCATATTGAACGAGGAAGTGTAAATTAGTTCATAGCAAACTAAATGAAAGTATCTCTCATCCATAGATGTCTGCAGTATCCATCACTATAGGATTTAAACTGAATGTATGTTTTATTGACAGGAAGGAGATACTATAAATGTGGATGTAACTTGCCCAGGTGCAACTTTGGCATTAGCCATGATCTATCTCAAGACCAACAACAGGTACGAGGCTAGGAGATCTGGTTAAATACAATATAAGGCACAGTCAGATGATCAATCTAGTCTCTTGTTTAGACCACAGTAAGCTACAATAGTACAAACTTTTGTGTCTTAGGAGAAAAACATTCATGTTACTCTTCCCAAGTAGACTATCTGTTCTTACCCTAGTTAGCTTTAAATCTGAATGGTAACTGCATTGGTTAGATTCATTTTCACAGCTCTGCTTCAGAGCATGCTATTGCTCAAGCACCTGTCTGGAACTTTTTAAAGTAGCAATCTTTTTTCCTGGAATTGGGTGGAAGCTGTAGATCAGGAGTGTCAAATGGGCAGCCCGCGGTCCGGATTCGTCACACGCAGGCCATGCCCATCCCAGCTCCACAAAGGCAAAAAACATTGCGATACGTCAAATTTGACACCTGTGCTGTAGATGGTGAAAGAGTGCAGTACAGAATTTGCCTAAAACCTTCCTTTATACAGCATTTGCACTGTTTATTATATACTAGTATCAAAATAGCATTTTGAACCACTGTTACTGTTTTCATTAAAGTGGTAATTTAAGGTATGAATGCTTAATGCTTAAGGGTAGTTCCACCTTCAGAGTGTTCTCTGTGGGATATGTTAAAGGCTTTGGCATTCAGTAAATATAAGAAATACTTGCAATTCAGACTGAGCAAGAAGTACTGACCCCATTATATCTTTCTTAATGTACAAGGACTGTAGCAGCTGGGCAGTGGATCTGGGAGATTAAAGAAAAATATATACTGTATAGCAGGGGTGTCCAAACTTTTTTCAAAGAGGGCCAGATTGGATGAAGTGAACGTGCTGGAGGGCCGAACATTTTTCCGAACATTCTTTGAACCATTACAATTAAATGCAAATGAATTATTTTATGCCTCTTTCCTCTCCCTCTCTCTCCTCTTTCTCTCTCTCTCTCTTTCCTTTCCCTTTCCTCTCCCCTCTCTCTCTTTCTCTTTCCTCTCCCCCTTTCTCTTTCCTCTCTCTCTTTCTCTTTCCTCTTTCTCTCTTTCTCTTTCCTTTTCCTCTCTTTCTCCTTTCTTTCCTCTTTTCTTCTCTTTCCTCTTTCCTTCCTTTCTCTTTCCTCTCTTTCCTTTATTTCTCTTTCCTCTTTCTCTTCTCTTTCCTCTTTCTTTCCTCTCTCTCTTTTCTCAATCTTTTTTCTTTCCTCTTTTTCTCTTTCCTCTCCCCCTCGCTTTCTTTCTTTCTCTCTTTCCTTT